CACACACACACACACACACACACACACACACACACACACACACACACACACACACACACACACACCACACACACACCACACACACACACGTGCACAGGCACCAATCACCTATCGTCCTCGTGTCTCTGTGTGTATGTGGCGTATCCATCAGGTTCACGGAGAGAAGGGGGAAAAAGACAGTGCGTTTTGACGGTGGGACCAATGTCGGCGGCCCTCAGGAGGAGGAATGGTCTTGGGAGGCCGATCGGCAGGGTAGCCAAGACAGCGCGACCAAAGACTCCGGGATAGACACTTCTAGCACCTTCACAAGCAGTGAAGACAGCAACAGGGGCGATCTGCCCAAGGTACGGGGGCCAAGTTACAAGCGAGTAACGTCAACCGGCTCGAAAAAAAAAAAACGAACAAAAAAAAAAGAAAATAAAAACGCTAGAGAACGCTTCTCGAGTTGTAGCGACTTGTAGATCGGAGTCGATCTGTTGATCGGTGACGAGTAGAAGGCGGAGTCCCACACACGCGCGAGGATAGACAAGAGTTTTAGGAACAAATCGTATTTCGCCGGTGAATCGAGTAAAAGGGGTTTTTTCAACGCTCTTTGCTGCACGATCGCGAACCGATCGGGAACATGTAGACGAAACGGTGCTTCATCTCGGCAACGATCACTCTCTTATCCACGTGCGATCTAACTCCAGGCGCCAATCGCGCCGGATCCAAAGTGGAATACGTCGTCCAAAGTGGAATTACGATTGTTTTCTTTCTCGCTCCTAGCTTCGATAGCGTAGCATTCGAAGAGGTGCATTTGGAGAGGTGGCTTGCTAATTGATGTAATTAGCGTGCAGTACTTGTAATTAGTTACTTTCGGATTACAATGTGTACCGTGTGCCAGGAGAGCCGAAGTTTCAGGGAGTGGAGAATTGCGCGATTGATCGTGCTAAAACCACTGATACCGATCGATGTGCAAACTGACAATGATATATATATATATATATATATATGTGTATATATATATATATATATATATATATATATTATACACACGCCGTAATTACGATATTATGTGTGAAAGTTTGATTTTTTTCCCATCTCATCTGTGCTGACAGGAGAGAGAACCTCTTTTGCTCGATTAACCCTAAACTTCGTGCTTAAAGGCTTGTGTGCTTGTGTTCGTTTTTATCTCGAAGTTTGTTTGTATATGATTTATATCGGCTTTCTTTGTATAATTTACAGCATTGATATAAAATTCAAGCTTATTTGGATTCCCGAAGTTGAAATCACGGAATATCGTTCACTTTCGACTCTCAAGTTGACTCATTGTCAGATAACCGACGATGCTAAAGACATTATATTTGGTCATTTATGCACAAATTGATGGAATTAGTAAAAGGATAAAATTTTTTACTAATTGCCATCCGCAGTATTCTGTGAATTCAAAAGTTTTAAGTAGAAAACTTCTGTACAATTCTCTTGCGTCAGGCTTCTTTCGATTCCATTCCACGTCGTGCCTCTTTTGCCTAAAATCTACTGTAATTTTCCTCGAGTTTCGCAATGACATAGATTTAATAGCGACGAACAAGATTTATGTACTTTTAAATAATGAATATAATTTCTGACATTCATTTCTCTTTTACGCCACTTCCAAATTAAAATACGGTCGCTCAATTAAGTTTTTGTAAGTTTTATTTTATGTATATATACGTATACATAAAACACTTATACAAATTACATTATAATGTAAAACGTATAAGAAGTTGCGGATAATCGATTCAGTATTTGGTGTGTAAACTCTCCTAAAAATATTTAGAGGGAGAAAGAAAGAATGGCATTTAGTATTATATAAAACTCATTTTGCTATTTTTACTTACTTGCCAGTTTAATGTAAGCGTGTCCGTGTGTGTGTGTGTGTGTGTGTGTGTGTGTGTGTGTGTGTGTGTGATTGCTATTTTGTGGAAATAAAACATTCTGTATAAACAAATCAATAGATTCTGCAAATAACAAAAAATGAACAATAATCACGTTTTGATTATGATTATTGTATACTTCTGTTAAAAATATAGGATAATTCCATCGATATCTGAAACGATGTCCAAACAAGTCAAATTACATGTGTTTGATTACTATTTTGTAGAAATAAAACATTTTGTATGAATGAATCAATAGACTCCGCAAATATCAAAAGTGGATAATAAGTAGTGATTACGCTTTGATTATGATTATTGTATATTTTCCTTCTGTTGAAGGAAATATAGGATAATATATTCCATCGAAGTCAAATTACATAGCCTATTACGAATACTCTAACAGAAATGAAAATGATTCGATTTGATATCTTGTATTTTTATCGCAATCAATAGAAAATAACATTGATCAATACTTTTAATTCTCTCCAGATAACAATATAAAACTTGATTTCTTTTGCAATTATGGATACATAAATAAAGATTGATAGCACTTTAAAATTAAATTATTTAGAAACATTAAGAAGATTATATAAGTATTAGATATGTTAACTAATTATAGAAAATCCCAAGGAATACAATATTCTAAGGAAAATAGATTTTACTGTGATTCCGACGGTTGCCGATTTGAACATTTTTGCGAAGTTTATATTCGAATGACGAAATATTGCGTGGACTGCTCATCGGTTCGATAGGGAGATAGGCTGCGGGGGGTCGCGGTCCAATTATACGAAGCAAATAACCAAGATTAAATTCCCCGGGTAAACAGTCGGCAATCGGGTAATTTATCTGGCAACGACTTACGTATCTCTCGAAGCAACTCGATCGGGATCAATCTTTTTCACTCCTATTTTCCAAACAAGTCACGTAACTCGAGGCTTGCTTCTATTTTCTCGGAGGCAAGTGGAAACTGATTGCGATGCGTGAAGGCAAAAAACGAGGGAACTAAACACCGTCGAGCACGATTGATTTCTACCGACTTCGCCGAACAGATCGAAGGAGGAAGGTACGGGACATGAGGCGATGCGGGAATTAATTCGCGCGATTACGTCCGATCGATAATCGTGTCGCGTCTCGGCAGGCGCAGATCTTATCCGATAAAAGGTGTATCGCGATGCCGCCCCTCTTTGTCAGCTCTGTGTTTTAGTAATTTAGAAAGTTAGAAAATTTCACGTGATTTTTTTCGCGAGGCAAACCGCTGATCCAAAACGATCCAATCAAAGGAATTGGCGAAGTTGCCAGTTCTCGAAAGAAAAGCGTGTCTGTTTCATAATTAATCAAATTGGATTGCGGCCAAAGGATATCGCAACCGACGAGGCTTGACGACCTCGTTAGTTGTCGTCAATCAGTTCTGGGCAAAGGATTTTTTTTAATATCTCTTCAATTATTGCGATTTCGAGCGGTTGTACAAATGAAAGAGATTCATACTAATATTGTTTAATCGCGAGCAAGAAGTAGCTTAATTGCCGTCTGGCATTCAATTCTGCTAGCTTTGCAGTTCGAATATATCTGACAGGAAGTTTCGGACTTTCAATTTGCATTATAACATGATTCAAAACATCGTTATTATTACGATTAAAATTACTGTAGATATTTCACTGGCGTAAAAGTAGAAATGGATTATATAATAAAATCATGTACGCTGAATCCATCCAGAAATTTCAGAAATTTGTGGGCTTTTGAGACTATACGGTTGATTGTGTAGACTGATATTTCTAATTTTCCAGTCCAAGTACTAGGGTTATTATTAAATCCGCTATAGTGAAAAAATAGTTTTACGAAAAAATCGAAATTTGAATTAAAATCCTGTCTTACAAGACTTCGGGCTCTCTACGAATCGAGTATTAGATATCGAGAAGCTCTACATTCGATAGGACAGAAGCCAAAAAGAGGCGACCCCTCTCCCTAAAGTAGATCCACCTGGTGAATCGTGTCGTTCCCAGATAGAGATACATCACGTTCAGGATTTTTAACGCAATATTATACGCATATTGACGATCACGCAGTGTTATTTGCATGCCTGCAATACATGTATGTCGTATATATATTTTTTTTCTGAATTTGCCGGGGATCTTTAGATATTGAAAATTTGATAGGTGCGGGATGCATGCCGTATAGAATGCCTTACGTTATATTGTAATATTTGCTAGTCACGCATGTAGTGCATGAAGCAGTGGCTATTATTCGCTTTTATATGCATCACAACAATACGCGTTGCTTGTTGCTCTAAATTTTCCGACGTGTCTAAATCGTCGAAAACCATGAAGACCTTTTTTATTGGGAGGATACCGTAAGGTTTCGTGAAAGATGAGAAACATGAAGCTTTTATTTGTTAGGAACAGCTTATTTCAGACGGTCAAATAAAGCTCCTGTTTTCTAATTAATTATATTGTTCTTCGTTCTACGTTTACATTGATACAATTTGCCAATGCGTATCCTCTCAAATCTTATGCCAATTTAAAAACTGTACATTTGTATCTTACAACATTTTTTATGCTCAAATAGTGCATTCCGCGCAGGAGAAATGTATTGCTGCAAGAGGCAAAGCATTTCTCAGTAGTATCCGTAGTAACTGATGTGTGTTGCAATTGTTTTTCATTAGTTGTGTTTTAATTGATAAATATAGATCAATAAAATGGAAATACGTCAGGATACTGGAAACCGATGAAATTAATAAAATTATACGAGTTTCTAGAATGACTTGTAACTAATTATTTTTACGATAAAATAACTGTATATTTTATAATTAAATGAAGTCATATTGATTATGAATTAATGTCATATAAAATGTCTTTCAAATTTTTTCTTATTATTAAATCCTTTTATTTAAGCGCATTTGGCTTTAGAATCCAGAATTCGAACGTATATTCCGCATATATATATATATATATAGGTATATATATATATATATATATATATATATATATATGGTTAATGGTTTATGAAGGCATGGCACTCAGTAAAAAAAATACTATCCGCGCTCCGTAGCATCCGTTATCCTGGCAAGTGAGCGAAGACGGTCAGAAGCTCATCGGCCACATGGTTTTACGAAAATCGGCTGGCTCCGGAAGCTCTAGTAGTATACTCGGACTAAAAGTTGTCGGTGGCAAGCTATTGGAAGATGGTTCCATGGGCGCTCTGATCGAGAAAGTGAAAAAGGGTAGCACGGCGGACGTAGAAGGTCAACTTAGACCCGGTAAGAAGATTACAAAGTTCGGATCATGCAATTCGGAGAATTTTCAAATCGTGTCTAGTCACGACGCGTTTATTACGAACGAAATGCAAAATATAATATTAAATTTATCTGATCATAAACGTTACGGAATACACTTTATATTGCAAAATATTTTTGTCGCTATGCTTCAGAGAAATCATAATCGGAATTTGATAATCGGTTTTTGATTAATAAAATTGCGAGAAAATTCATAAAAGGTAATTTTTTCGGAATCGGAAGAGAAATTATATTATACCTTCAATTATTACATTTGACATATATAACAGCATTTTCCTATAGTATTATCGTGTATATATTAATAATGAAAGACCCGTACCTTGTGCGTTTCGTAGTAATCCGTACTTTCGGCTTTGACACCTTGAAAGCTCACGGCTTGTCGACAGTGCTCTCGTAACAATCGCGAGCAAGCCGTTTCCGTTCCCACGTTCCGTCCATAAGAACGAAATCGGACGACGCTCGACGATCCCCTGCGGCTGTTTCAGGTGACGAGGTGATCGCGTGGAATGGGATGTCCCTTCAAGGCAAGAACTACCAAGGAGTTTACGACACCATCGCCAAGTCGAGGCTGGAGCCGCAGATTGAGCTCGTAGTTGAGAGAAAGTTGTCGTCGACAACAACGGGCATGGCGCCTGCTGGACCGGGCCCATCGACGCCCATGGCATCCAGAAGAATCGCCGCTCAGAGCCAGTGGAGACAGAAACACGAGACCATCTCCGGGCCTCCGACGCCGCATCACAAAGGTAACTATGCACTGCAGAGCACGTTTCCGTTTCCGGCCGTCTTCCGACTTGATTTCGCTTCTGTGTATCACAAATGTCGTGATCTAGATTACTTTATCACCGACTCGTTTCGTTCGAACTTGGAATATATACATATCTCGTTTTTACAACTCTAAATATATTTATCATCGATTTAATATAATATCGTAGTCGTGCATGAGCTTATATAGTACCGAGCGTTATTTTAACAAATATCATGGACGCTACAAGAAGTAAATTATATATATATACGAATGTGTGGCGATTATACAGTTAAAAGGGATGAGGTAGATCATTTTTTAGGTAGATCGGCTTTCACATTCTTCTCAGGATGCCAGTTTGAATGTAGCACCAAAGAGTTAGAAAAGATTGTGTTAGGAAGATGCGTTGTTTTGAGTGTAATTATTATAGAAAAGCAGAAGTAATTCATCTGAAACGTATTCACATAATCTTCCTTTTAGTTGGGCAAAGAAGAAATTAACGTAGTTTATTTTACGTAAAAATTTTCCCGTAAATCTTCTTATGCCATTTCATGTGAGATTTATAGGGAAGATGAACAATAAGAAAAGCAGTGCAAGTTAAAAGCAGACGGAAGGGTTGAAAATTAATTATTTCGATTGATAAAATATTCATCAATTAAATCTCATTAAACGTGAAACGGCGCACTGCGCTTCCCGTTACTAACCTGCGTTATTAACACGCATATAAGTGTTAAGCATATAAGAGGTAATATTATTGCTACGGACTACATGGCTTTTTCGCATTTCAGGTCTTAAGAAATGCTTACTATGGGGTAGGCCTCTCAGACAACTTTCTTTAAACCATTTTCGATTGATCAGTGTTTCTTGCCTGTACCATTTAGCCTTTTAATCCTCCATTATCGACGACCGTTTCGTGAGATTTTGCCTTCAAATCTCAACAAACGGGAGCGGAGTCGATGATTTCGATGCTACGGCAAGACGTATGGCGGAGCAACGAAAAATTGATTTACTATTTATATTCTGCCTTGAGTATTACCGTCGATGTTTAACCGTAGATGTAGTTCGTAGTGCATCCTAATGCACCCCTCCTCTTCCCTCCGCTAAAAGAGCACCGTTGTATAGGTATAGTCTTATGGGAGCAACAACTACATTATATGTATATACAAGACATAAAGATGCCGATATATAATAATAAATCCCTCATGTCGTGCTTCCTCTCTACTTATAACAAATCACGAGTGTCTCGTGTAATCCTTATATGGATAAGTGTAATTTGCTGTATTTCGCTCTACTGCCTATTATCTCCACTATATATCGATCTAACATTATTATCATAATAACTTCCCTCTCATTCCTTTTCGTTGTCACGGATTTCCGTGATTGTGAGAACCCGTGCATGCGGACCTCCACTTCTTCGAAAGACGTGGGTGTTTCCAGAACTGTTCAGAAATAGTTTATCGATTTTGCAACATCCCCGGGGGTTCGATGACGCTGTGAGATAGAACTTGGTTTTCGCATCTATAATTTCGCACACTCAAGTATCCGGATCGACGCAGAGATTTCTCGAACAGACGTCTAACAGACATTCCAATCTTTCAAACGCTATACCTTGGACGTCTCGAAAGACACATTTTCAATCTTTCTGTCGTTTGAGTATTTATCTAATATACGTATCGTATAAACACGAATATTAACATATTCATTGCCAACCAACGATGTGAGCGTCGCGTGATCGACTGACGAATGGTAATGAATGTGTTAGCGCAATGAAAGCATGAGAGTTTGTTCGTTCGTTGGATCACACCCGAATTTCTTCTCTCTTCTTCTTCTTCTTCTTCTTGTTCTTCATTTATCGTCGTCTCTCACACTTCTACTCGTTATTTTCCTCATGACGAAATCTCGCGCGCACCTCTCCTCGTGAATCGCTGCAAGATCGCAGATACGGAAACAAATTATATCCTAGTCGAAGCTGCACGATCACTTGCAGAATTGTACGACGCGAGGCGTGAGAAACCCTCGGTTTTAGTGACGTCGCCGGGCTCGCCGGACCTGCACGCCCAAGGACGCGGGCGACACTCCCGACATCCGACCGGAAATGCAAACGTGGGCGGTAGTATCCAGGTGAAGCTGGGCTTCGATCCCGTGGGACTTCAGCTGATCGTCACGATAATATGCGCCGCGGGGCTTACGCCAAAGAGCAACGGCCAACCTAGAAACCCTTACGCCAAAGTCTTTCTGCTTCCTGACAAAAGGTAAGTGAATCACCGATATTTGACAGTGCTCGATGATAATACTTTTCAATTCAATTGAAACTTTCGGAGAAATACTAGCATAAATCGGATGCCCGATATTCATTTGTAGTTTGAGTATTATGAAAAATGCAACTGCGTTTAAAATATATTGTTTGGTGTACGTTAATATTACGGTTTTGTTTTATCATCTTTTAACAGTGACTATTCATCTCGCGGTTCGTTTCGTTCTGATTTAATTGTTGGCTAATCTTTCGAGTGCCTTGAAAATTTATGAGTTTCTTTTAAATGTCGCTATAGCGAAAAATCGAAACGACGTACGAAGACCGTGGCGAACACGAACGATCCCAGATGGAATCAGACATTCGTTTATAATGGAGTCAGGCGCTCGGAGCTGAAGAAGAGGGCACTGGAGATTACGGTCTGGGACTACGCTAGGTACGAGGCGAACGATTTCCTCGGCGAGGCTGTCCTGGAATTGGCAGTATGTCTCCTGGACGAGGAACCAGAATGGCATTCTCTGACCGCTCACGGAGAACACCGGCATGTCAGGTATGAATCGCACTCGCGGATGCTGGTAGTTCCAATGCCAATGCTAAAAGCGATCAAATAAATACCTCGCATCGATACGAATCCCTTGCGGAATGTTTGACAATGTTCCCATGTTATATACCTCGCTTTGCGTAAGATGTGACGTAACATTATACGGTGGCCCATCTCAGAAATCTGCATTTCGGGACAAAGGGGAGTCTATATTCCTTAGCACTTTCGTTTCTAAACGAATATAGAAATAAATTTAATGTCGCGACAGTGTCTATCGTCGAGAGACCCTTAACTGTTTTTACTCTTCAGGCATTACCAAGATTCTGATGACATGCTAGACTGTCATCTTAGTCCACCGTCGACCACCTCGAGATTAAGTGACTCCGACACCTCGGAGTGCGACATTACGGATTGCGACGTGTCGAGGGAACAAAGGAGAACGGCTGACGGTGCCAGCATAAGCAGTATTGGCAGTTCCTCTAGGTAAGACCATTTCTTAAAATCTCCGTAATATATAATATAAATATCCCGGTCTAACGACAGAATATATTGAAACCGGAAAAAATTAATCGGTCAACTCAGCTTTGAATGTCTGTGTTGAATATCATATAAATCATACGCAAATCGAAACGTTTATGCGAGAATCACAAGATGAATAGAAATAATTCTATATTTTATTTACATTATTGAAAATTAAAAAAATACAAGTGCGTTAAAATTGGCATACTTGATGACGGTAGGAATTGCAGTATTAATCGGGCAAAGTTGCTACCCAATTTAAGATCCAATTTACAGATCTCGTAACTACTATCGTTATTGTTGCGTCATTCTCGCGTTCCCCGTATTGCGGTATTTATTATACAAGAAGGCGTTATTTCGGTGTACGATACACAGAATATTTTCTAACAAGGATTTCTTCCGTCATAATCCTTTTGTTAGAATCGGACTTTGATTCAATTAGAGAGAACTTTACATGGCTTAAAATAAACGTACGATAAAGGGATTTTCCTGAACTTTATTCTCTCTTTTGGCCTCTCTTTATCAATCATTTGTCATAAAGTTATTGTAGAGTTGCTTTTTTAAATACGAAAATACATAGTTTTTGTGAAGTTTTGGAAGCGGATAAAATATCTGATTTTCTTTCTTACACGACTGAAACGTAAGCCAAGTGCAGAGGGAAAATTGAGACAAGTACGAATACATAAAATTAATGATTGCGAACGGAAGTTTGAAAAAAAAAGACAAGACTCAAACGGGAGGGGTCAATCGAAAGAAAGAGAGAGGGTAAAGGCCAAGTTATAAAACTGGGCAACAAGCCAATTGACATAGCAGTTTGCCCGCGACCGTTGCTAGCTCCGGAAGTCACAGTCTTAAACTCACATCCATATTAATATTCCAGTGATAATGTCCGATCGTTATTTTTGAGTGCAAAGTGATTTTTATGTCAAAACATTTGCGTGCAACGAAAAAAAAAAACGATAGTGCACATCAAAAGAGAATGGGGATGAGAAGATAACAGTCTAAGGAATTAATTCGTGATAATGAACCCATTCGAGATCGCACGATTGCTAAGTTAATGGATCTCAGAGGAGAACGTTAAATGCACAATAATTTATTGTGCTACTGCAATAAATTATTCAGTTACGAAAATATGAAGTCCGTGAAATCTCCACGCCTCGGCGTGAATTAGTCGTCAACGACAACGAAATTTACAGCGTAATAAAATTTGTGATATGCGTGTACGCGACATTTATAATTCTCGTATAATTCTCGTAATAAACTCCCTTTGGCAAGTGGAATTCTCTCGAAATCGTTTCAATGTCAACACACACGTCTTGATCTCGCTTTAAAGATATACCCAGCTTGCCCGTAAATTTTTTCATCGACGATACACGCGGCAAATCGAGTCAATGTAGCGGATTCAATGAACACGTAGGCTATCCTCGATAGGCTTGGCAGGTATAGAGTGGCAGAGATGGGGATAAGCCGAGATACTATCTAGCATCGCTCTGCACTTCTTTTATATCCGGGCAGCTTCGATCTGCAAAGCGAACGCTTCTATCCCTAAGCGTGCATTAGCCTGTAAAAGCTTTCTCCGGAATAATTGAAACATTCCCAGTCTGCTCTGAGAGAGCGGACATTCTGCACATATTTAAACAACCTTTAATATCGTTTAATGAGATTATTCGAAAGGGTTTCGCGTCAGTTATATTAACATATCTATCGTCGTCAAGTCGGCGGCACTAACACGACGTACAATGTATGTGCATTTTGATAAAATATTTTATTATAATTCTATTGTAATTCTACACGCGAGCACGTTATTACATTTAATGGCGAAGTAGCTTTCGTGATCTGTCGCAAATACACGTGCGGGATTTACAAAAAAATTTACACCCATATTGTCGTACATTTTAATTTTTAATTTTATTTCTCTTTACGCCTTTGCGGTTCCTTAAATATTTCTAGAATATAAAAAAATATTACGCGTCTATACACAGAAGTCTATAGTCGAACGCATATTCCTCGTAAGTTTAAGTCGATACACATAAATGCGGATAAAATGTTTTACGTTGAAATGTATGACCTGTGAAGAGATAAGAAAAATTAGACGCGTCGGCCGCGGCCGCGCCATCGCCCGATTGATTTTGATTTTAATCGTGTGCTTTGTGATTTATTTTTTAGGTTTCATAATATGCCGTCAAATTATAAGCGGTACGGCCATTACAATTTATATTTTCTCTTTCACGAATCACGCAGTCACACGTCTTGCATCCTCACCGCTAGGTTCTAATATATGTATCGCGCGTAGATCAGTCAGTTAGTTCATGACAGTGTTCGGAGAGTGCAATAGAGACGAGACAACTGGACGTGTACTGACGTGATCACATAGCTAATTTAATTTAAGAACGGACAACAAAGGCACGGAGAAACCTTCGTTTGACAAGGATTATACTTTCAAGCGTGGCTGGGAAGGAGGGAGGGAGGGAGGAAGAGAGGAGAGAAAGTGTCCTTCCTTTTTTTCTTTTTGTGAAAGAAAGAACAATGACTGTGATACGAACGTCATCGGGAACCGCTATTCGCGTTGAAAATGCAAATCTTTAACGGACTTTTGTACTTTTTCGCGCGTGAAAATCGTACACGCAGTAGTCGGTGAATATTGCAATGCACAACGTCTCGGTGTTACAAAAATTTTCGGGACAATGTCCTTTGTCTTCGTTCTTCCGCCGAGGCGCGAAACACACATAGTGAAATGAGCAACGAGTTGAAAAATATTAAATGCGAATATTTAGCGAATCGCCATCCATGTAGGCACTTTAGACGTCATGCTGTCATTGCTTCTTGCATATACGCATATTATATATTAGATGCGACAAGACATGGCTTCTAGAATGCTTAGTGCATTGCAGTGCATCGGCCGGGGTGGACTGAGGGAGTTTCTCGAAGCCTTCGATCGATTTTCGTGATTTCGTGGTCCTGTGTCACCGACACATTGGCACTTTTCGTTGCCAAAAATGGTTTGAAAATGATTTCGGGATTCTGTACCTTACACACATCTCGCACGGTCGTTCTCTTCGACGTGCAATACTTACGCAGTACTTGGCACTCATCTCAAACGCACTTACACACGGCATATTCTTAATTTATGTCGAGTCACCCTTTCTTTTTTGTCGCGCGTACTCTCATTTTTGGCAACGAAAGGGGTCCCCGCGATCGAGAACACCAAAGAGAACGCTCGACTGCATTGCCGAGTAACTTGGAGCTGCTTTGCGCCAAATTAGGAGATATGCATTCGCAGTTTGCGATCTGAGAGGTCGAATCGAGCCCACGCTTATATCTTGTATGCGCCAAAATATGTACGAAGAAAATTCAAAAGATAGCGGTTTAACGAATGAGGGGGACTTTGCGGATTTTTATTTTCACTTTGACGTTTTGGCTCCGTCCTCGGTGCTGCGTAGCTCCTAATCTCGCTCCTAGCGGTTCCTAAATCATCTTCTCTTCTCCGCTTACCCACCATCCTGGCCGCATGCATTTTTAATGATTAGCGCGAGATCACAGCACTCGCCTCATTTAACTTGTAAGGCACGCAGCATTCACTGATTGATGAAAAAAAAAAATGAACGCATGCTGGAGCAGCCACTATTCTAGCCCACCGCCGGAGAGGGAACTGTGCATCGATGGCGAGCATCGGAGTCGAAGAGATATGTCACCTCAGGGACGCAAAAGGGCAGCCCTAATGATTTCTCGTGACCAGCCTGCTTCTATCTCGAGTTACCAGACATATCGTAAGGTAAGTGTTTGATTTTAATTTTGATCTGAGCGCAGAAATGTTTAAAATCGAGCATTTATAGAAGTTGCAAAAGAGACAGCGTTTGAGCTTCAATCGGAATTTTTAATCAAGAATAAAATCGCTCGCGAGACCGAACCGATGAATGAAAAAGAAAAAGAAGAAAAATTATAGACACTCTTTTTCTGAGATCGATATGTACCAATATATTACCGATATATTGAATAACGTTTATCGAGATGTATCCTTGTACATTATTAAATACGTATCGCAGGACGAGATCCATCGGGGAATGATGGGTCACAGGTCGCACAGCGCGGCACCTATGGACTCTCCAAATGTTAGATACCGAGGAAGGTCTCAGAGTCCCACCGGTCATCGTTCCTTATCTCCACCCGAGTATAGATCCATTCCCTACTCGCACGGATACGTTCATACGACGAGGTATAAAACATTAGCAGAAAACTTTTTGACGTTATCTAGATTAGAGTCACTATGGATAATTGTGACAGAAGAATGCAAAAAGTTCAACTATTATTTTGTAACTTCGTAATTATTCCATTAATTTTGAAAAAACATTTCATTTTTTTTAACTGTGAAGAGAACATTCACATTAGGAGCAGAAAAGCAGAATTTGTTAGAATTAATTATAAGTTGCACTAATAACTGTCAATATATTCTACTTTCATAATACCGCAAAAATGTTCAAATAGAGATTAGAGAAAGTGAAGAAAATTATTATCTTTTTTGATTAATAAGTGCTATGTGAATACAATAGTAGAAAATCAGAAAGCTTAAAAAAAAGCTTATATTTCAAACAAGTAAATCAGACGGTCTAATTGATTTTAATTAAATACGAGAAAAAAAATATTAATCTATGTAATTTACTATGATTACTTTGTCATATGGGGTTATCATGACAGTAGATGTATGTAGGAAAATTATGTCATAAAAATTATACTATTGCAAAAATGATGGTAATAACTCAGTTAGGAAAATGTTGGCAATTTTCCTACAAATTGTTGACAAATTTGAACAAAAATATCAGCAAATTGGCATCAACCGTCTCTGCATTAAGCTTGTATTTTGTCGACAAAGCTTGCTGACATAATGTGAGAGCAAATTGACGGCAGAAATTAAGCATAGCTTTGATCAGTTTCAGTTTTGGTCAGTTTTTGGCGTCAATTTGTTATCAGGTTGTCGGCAAGCTTTGCACGATTTTTATCGACAATTTGTTCTCATGTTACGTCAGCAGATTTTGTTGTATGACTGTCATCAATTTGCTGACATTGTTGAATATAACAGAATTTTCTTTTTATCACAGAAATTTGTAGCAAGCATATTTATTTTCCTTAAAATAAAGTACCTAATTTTAAAAATTTGAACTTCAAAAAAATAATATATCACATCTATAATCTGTTTTTATATGAATTATTTAATTAATACATGTATTTTTGGATTTTTATGTTTTTGGCTTTTTATTAAACTTTTTTTTATTATGCTTTTTTAATTATTTTATTGTTTATAATCGATTTATTATAATAGTTTCTGCACGTCAAGCACATATAGAAAATAGATAACTGCAGTAGATGTTACATTTACCTTTACCTTACAATAATAAATTTGCTATGAGGTATTTGTAATTCTCATTTAAAATAAAAAAAAAACATATTGACGTAACTTTTATTTCAGATTATTATTAATTAATTGCAATTTTTAAATGTAATATAAAACTTATTAAACAATAAAATTATTATCGAAAAACAAATCTTGAATATGATATATTGAAGCATACAAATATTTACCTAAATTTTTGATATCTTTGTTTTTAGAGAAAAATTTTATACATTTATAGTTTTTACAAATCAGTGACATTTTTTAATATAAAGAAATATTTTATTATTTTTTACGTGTTTGATAAAAATAATCAGAATTTTATTTTTTATTTAAATATATCGTAATGTCACGGTTACCTCACTGTCATAATTACCCGTCATGTTTGTGGAAATTGAAACAGTAGACTTACCATTGCTCTTATTTAGATTCGGCTCGAGATCGGCGACCGCCACACCTACTGGATCGCCGAAGAAACGTCAGCTACCTCAAATCCCGGCAGCTTTGAAGGAAAGAGTCGCGCAAGATTTTGAGGAACGAGCAAGATTTATGAGACATCGCAACAGACCGTCGATATACAGGAGCACGGGTATGGGAGGTGAGCATTTGAGATTTCAACGAGGTTGTATAACGTTTATTGGAAGAGTTCATGTATTTTTTTCGACTTATTAGCACTTCTGACACTAAAAAAAAAATGAAAATTGAAAACAAACATAGCAGTCAGTATATAATTTATTTTTTTCATAAATAAGTTATAACATATATTAACTTATTCTTTTTATAAATTTTTATTATATCCTAAATAATTGATTAATTTATTCCCAGGTTGGGAAAGGCATTACAGCGGCCTTTCGGACTCGGATCTTCCTTCAATTGGACACGATCCACTAACGTTGTCACACAGTCACGCTCACAGATTGCACAGGTCGAGGAGGGGGCACTTAAGTCCCGATAAAGATATACTCGGTGATCTTGGAGATTCTGACATGGAGAGCATAGCTTCGGTAACGAGCAGTGCCTTTAGTACGCAATCGGAACGACCGCGTGGATCAAGAGCACTAATGTGAGTATAGTTTTGTAATTAAATTATTCCGTTATTTTACCATAAGAACCACCTCGCGTTGCGGCAGTCAATGTGCAAAGCAACGCAGTTTCAAAAGAATATTCCCGTTAGGAAGGAGGATCTGAGCATCGAGTGTGCTGTTTTAAATATATGTCGCTGCAACATTAGGATGCATCGTTATACGTCTTTTATGTCACGATAAAATCGATAATCGGAGGAATAGCACACTCATCGGCTCAACCTCTTGAATCAAGGAAAATCCCTTGATTAAATGGACATTGTCAACTAAATGGATATCCCGTAGTTGCACATTTTCACATCCTTGTGCGTGTGCGTGTATGTGTGTGCGCGTGCGTGTACGTATGCGTGTGTGTGTCTGTGTGTGGGTATATATCTGTGTGTGTCAAGTCTTCCAATATTCCTCGCGCTTCTTCACGGAGCGATTAGATTGCACTTCCTATGCACCGTGTCAATGTCCATTTAATTAATGCCCCATTCTAAGAAAACAGAGATCAGTGCGTGGCGTTGGTCGAACGGTTAGATAGTTGTGTCTCATCGGGTTCATACAGAAAAGAAGAAAAAGCATTGCGAAGTACATCGATCGCCGCGCGTGTCTCTTCTGAAATGCCGACCCGTTGTTCTCGGCGAATCGACAGAGTCGAGTTCTGAGATGTTAATGACCGATATGCGTTCGATCGATCGCGAACGCGCGGTTAAATAGAAAAAAAAGAGAAAAAAAGGAGCAAGAGAAAGATGAAAAGCGGAATGGGCTCACCCCCCCTTTGGTTGTATTCCCGCAAGAGTGCTAAACTCTCTATATGAAAAACATTATTTGCAGACCGACAATTAAAAATGTTTTAATACCCGGTGCCACATCCCCCATACCCCCACCCCCTAGGCGCAATAGGCGCAGGCACAAACTTAGGACACCCTGCAGCGAATGTCATTGTCCCACCAAGCCCAGAAGCAACAACCCTAGCAAGTGTCCCACCCTATATCCCCTCGTACGGAGCAAGTCCGCAGTGGTACGCTCGTTGTACAAAAAGATGTGTACGCCATTCACGAGATCGCAGACCGTCGACGAGAACATGCTGAGATATTACAGCTCCGAGACCAGCGAGTACAGCGTTTCCGAGGGGTACATACTCAAGCCAGAGAGACTCGTAGCTAGTAGCGCTAAGAATCGTATACCGTCGGCGATATACGTCGAGGATTGCCTCCGGGTCGACTTTAACGATCGTTTTGTGGAGAAGTTTCGCTCTATTATATTCGGCGCCGAATCTCGCGGGAGGAGTCGATACGTTGTCGCGTGCACGCAACTATTCCGTGACGATGAAGACGACGATGACGACGACGACGACGACGACGATGAGGACGACGACGACGACGACGACGACGACGATGACAACGACGACGACGACGACGACGACGACAACGACAATGACGCCAACAATGACAACGACGACGATGAGGACGTCGACAAGACGACCGATTGTCTCGAGTGGTCCGATCGAGCTCCCTAACTTCAATATTAGGAGCATAGACGCTAGATTGCATCCGCGTAGGTCTTTTTTGTCCGCTAAGACTAGGAGCTTCGATTACGACGTGATGCACGATACATACGGTGATCGTTTCGGTACTAGGCCAGGGGCCGTCGGTCTGCTATCGCGCCGGGCCAAGAGTTTCGAGTACGAGAGCATTTCGAGCAACATATTCAGCGACGACAGTCTCAGGACGGCCAGAAGAAAGCTCAAGCGGAATCTCTCTCTCAGCGACGCCGGGTACGGTGACAAGATACCGGCGCTGGACGATCAGAGCAAATCCTACTACGATTCTAACGGTGACGACAAAGTGCCTAAGAGTCTCACGAGCAAAGAGACGAATTACGATTTTTTGCTCGATGAGGACCACAAGCCGTTTTACGGATACGACTCGGAGCTCAGCTGCGGCGAGACGGAGATTTACGTTCCGAGTTTCGACAAGCAGAACATCGAGACCGACGATTACCAAGCCTCGTACAGTTCCCGTTTAACGGACGACAATGATCTGTTCAGCGACAACGACCGCGCTCATCTCAGGAATGTTCTGGACAAGGATGATACTAGCAAGAAAAAGTACATGGACGAAAGTTACTTGAATCACGATTCCTCGTACATCAGAGACATATCTTCGGATACAAGAACCAAGAACGTAGATAGTGATCTTAGTAATTCGATCGGCGATATCTATTGTAGCATCGAGGACACTCTTTCGTCCACTAAAAATTACGATCGTGATATTCTCGCGAAATCCACCACGAAGATCCACGATACCGCTACTAACATGGATAAGTGGATGTCGACGGATGTAAAAGGTGTCCTGCGATCTCGCGGAACAACTGGTCGTTCTTATCAAGAGGATGAGAACAAAACTCGCGAGAACTGGGACACCGATTACGATAAAGGATTTATAGACCGAGAAAAAGGCGATCACTACGAACGGAAGAAATTTAATTACCTGGACAAAAGCATTGGTGCCTTAAAAATTGGCGGCTCAATGCGCGAAGGCGAGTACTTTCATGACGTAACGGATCGTTCTTGTGCCGTTAAGGGGAAGTGTTACGCCCTGTCCGACGATGATGACAGAAAGTTCGCGACGAGCGATTACATCAGTTACCGTTCATCCGATGACTACGATTATTGGACTACGCACACCACAGACGGAGCCGTGCCGCGAAGACGAAGACGAAGAGGCAGGAGAGGCAGTAGAGAGGGAGGCGCAGGTGACTACGAGAACCTGCGGACCAGAGACGTGTTAGGCGCTCAGTCGAGATTAACGGACAGTAAGAGATTGATGACGATCCAGCGAACGGAGTCCACGCCTACTCTACACTCAGACGAGGACCTGAGTTCGATTGCGGATCGCGCCAGACGCATGTATCGTCGCAAGCGAAACAGCAGCTGTCCAGAGAGCAGAGATCTGCGAATGTACGGGTCGCGATGGCGTGACGAGAGAACGAGTAGTGTACTAGAGTCTGACGAGGAGTTCGGCTCGATGGAGACGGTAGTCGGCGCCGATTATTTCCGTCGTACTTCGGGCTACGCGTCGGACGCTAGAGCGAACGACAGCGTTAGATCGGGCTTCTTTGACGCGGAGCAAGACCGTGGTAGCTACTTAGACGCAAGATACGATCATGAGGACCGATATCAGGATCGCAGTTATCCGGTGGTACGCGCGCTAGTTAGGTCAGGGTCGCAGCGTTCGAGTCGCGAGGCGCGACACGTATCGCGCGCTAGGCGTAAGAGTAGTTGCCCGGAGTGTCGTGAGCTAGCACTGTCCTCCTCGGAGTTAGGTAGGTCGGGATCGCTATCGCGGAAGGGTGACGATCCTCGGCGTTCATCGTTAGAGACGAAGCATAGATATCGTAGGCGGAACAGCAGCTGTCCGGAAGCTAGGGATCTCGAAATGCTCGAGAAGAGGCAGCGTCAGCAGCAGCTCGTGCAGCTCCATCAGCAGCAACAGCGGCACTCAAGCCAGCAGTATCAGCAGCAGCAGCAGCAGCAGCATCAGCAGCAGCAGCAGCAGCAGCAACAGCAGCAGCAACAGCAGCAGCAGCAGCAGCACCAGAGGCAGCATCAGCAGTTCCAGCAGCAGCAGGCGCAGCATCAACAACCGCAGGGAAGTAGTAAGAGGAACGTGGCGATCAGCGACACCCTCGAGTACTACGAGTACTCGATGGAGAGCGAGAGCCAGTGCAGCGAGAACTGCGGATTTGGCCCGTGCGATCCGCGTAGGCCCCGTAACCGAGCACCCCGCCCTGGTAACGCTAATTCGAGTCTCTTTGATTCCCAAACCGCTACCTCCGACACTGCTAAAAACTACCATCCACGGATCGACGGTCATCATCACCAACACCCACAAAACACGAAAACGTCGCCGCTCGCCAATGTCGCCGATGTGGCGTCGACGTTTCTGCCACCGTTGCCGCCGTCGTCCTCATCGTCCGCCCGGCGACGACCCCGGAAAAAATCCGCTTACGATGTCGACGTCGTCGCCGCCGTCGCCGATCGTCGCGACGACGACGACGCACGGAATCGTCGTTCCTCATCTATGCCCGAAAGCAGCGAGTACACCAGCCAGTCGAGCTCGTATGAGAAGACGTCCAGACGCCAGGTCACCGACAACGGGCACGACGAGCGCGACAAGAGAAGTCAGTTCACCAGGAGTCTCAGTAACGCCGATGTGCCGCAGGACGAGAAAGGTAACGGAGAAAGTTTTTACATTGATTAAAGTTAGCTCTAGAACGTTATTCTCGACCAATTCTATTTTCCAATAGCAAGATGACTCTTGCGTCGATAATTTCCATCATCACCACGAATAAACATAATCGTAATCGCGCTTTTAATTATCTTTACATGTCTATAATATCAGAAATTGCGCTTATTAAAATTAAGTTTCTCGGCTATTAAATTTAATTTATCTACTAAATGTATTTACATCTTGCTTTTTAATAGAAATTTTATTTTGATGCCTAGCTTCGATTTTTCGTTGTTGCATATTCTCTTTAAAGAGGCATCGATTTTACTGTCACGATGACGTGATATATATAGCTGAGAGAGCGAAGACCGAACTCTGCAGAAGTGTAACATTAATTTTCGTCGAGATTTACAGTCACGAACTCGTTGCACTCGAATTTAGCGGTAGTTAATAAACTGCGGACGTATGTACGTCCACGCGAACGTTCCTGAAAGTAAAGTTCCTTTTGAGCTCGCAGAGTCACGAACGCGTCTTCCTCTACCTGTCGTTCAACGATAGTAAAAGCAATGACTGCGCACACTTTGCTCTTTATATTTTTATATGATATAATTATATTTTAATGGTATGTTACAAAATGTTTAGTTTAATTGACCGAAGTTGCAACTCTATCCTTTTATAAAGTAAGTTCGCTTAGTGCTTTCGTACCCTTATTTTCCAAACTGGCGCCGCGAAAGACAGCACGAGAACACACAGAAACGTGTGGCCCACGGTTTTTTTACACCTCACCCCTGGGCCGCGCTGATTTAATTCTATACGTGTACAAGTACGTGTCCTTGTTTCGCAGACACGGGTAGTTTCAGCGATACCGCGATTGCATTGAACGTTGAAGATGCGGCGAGGAGAGGCCGTAAGAGCTCGCCGGGAAGTAAAAGCGGAAGCGGCAGCAGTAGCGGAAGCGCGGTGCAGTATCAGGCAGGTCTGGGCAAGAAGAGCAATAGCACCAGCCAATTATCCGCGACAGGTAACACATTGTCACACTGGCCATTTCTAGTTAAGTTTGCGTTTAGCCTCTACGTGTTATACGTAGTCGTGATTTTTTCGTAAAAGATCGATCGTTCGCGCGAAAGTAAACATCTCCCGGTGCGCGATATTAGATATACGTTTGATCGATGTATGACATCATCTTGCGCGACATTAGACAGTTTTTCTATTTTCCTGACATTTATATCTTCTCTCTTTAGTGAAAAGGATATCGTTTTCTTCAGAAACATCGATATTTCGTAAATTAGGATAGAGTAGTCTAGCATCTCGTTAGTGTGTAGATTATAACGGTGTGCTCTCGCTACGTACATGCAAATGAGGATGATGCAAATATATCGTTGATATACAGACGCATTTTGTTAAACGTTCATGAAGATGAATTCGCGCGACAGCTTTGAATGCGTACAACAAAAATTTTCGATTTCTCATTTCGTACCATTTATGATCAAAACACGAGTGAAAAATGAGAATAAGAAGAATAAGGTACCTACTACGAATAAAAAGCAATATTGTGATGATGCTAGTATAAGTTTTTGAAAATGTGCGCGGTGAAATGCATGAGCGATCGTAATCCTAATCACGAAGTGCATTTTTTTTTACTATGTGATTGACTACAATCCGAAAAATATAAAATAGAGATTTAATTAGATATAAAAATAAGATATTATATCTAAGATTACAGACATAGGATAAAGTAACTAAAACAAATTGAAAATGATACAAGGAGTGCGTTGTACTCTCTGTCTGAATAATTTTGCTAATTATTCCTCATTCTTTGTATCTTATTCTTCGTATTTCGCTGATCGTGATCGTTACAATCGCGCGGGTTGCATTGCAGTTCGATTTGACGGGTAACGAATTGAACGATAACAAGAGCATATCGTAGACAAAGCAAAAAACCCAATAAGCGGGGCAGTATGTACATTCTAATTGTATTCTTGTTTTCTCCGCCATCCCTCCTCATCTCTATCTGCCTCTTCTTCGACATGAACACACTCACACTTTACTTCTACCAACCAACCACCTCTCGACGCTGGGGGACCATTCACGTCATCGATCTGCACCCACCTGCACGATTTCTCATCGCGGCGGCCGATCGTCGCCCCGCGCGCTCGTGTGCTCGTGTTCACGGAACACTCCACACGGATCACCATCATCGATTTGCTGGACCGATCGCCAAAACAAAAAAAAAACAACATTAAAAACTCGAATACCGATACTCTCGTATACTTACGAAAAAAAAAAAACTACGCATACGCCTATAAAATCGACTCGATAAACTGACATTCCGCTTTCAACAACTGTTGCTCTTGCTACTGCAATTTGCAACTACGAACAAACAAACGTACGAACGAACGAACGAACGAACGAATGAAACGAACATCAAAACTGTATCACATCACGCAAAATCCATAACATGCCACGTGCGTCTGTTGGTGGTACATGCGTGGGCGAGGAAGGACGGAAACGGCGGCTGGGTTTCGGGAAGAAGGGGAAGTCGTCCTTTACAGTTCACAGGAGCGAGGAGGTCCTGCCGCCGGAGGACACGGTCGGTGGTAGGAGCGGCCGGCAGCCGAGCTCCGCGAGCAGCGACGGCGAGGGGAGCGGCGACGGGGACAGGTCCGATTTGCTCTCTCTCAGTAGAACTCCTCTCTTTTTCATCTCTCTTTCGCTTTATTTTCCTCATTACATTTTGCATTTTGACGCGGGAGCGATCGACAATACGGCCGGTCGAAGGAGGTGTATATATTTACGCGGGGTGGGCGCGCGTTCACCATCGAATTCCTCGAATCGTATATATACGCCTTTGCGACAATGAAGTTCTGAAGTGTTTGCGCGAAGACTATAATGTCGCTCAATATTAACGACGATACGACCTAGTCGTATATCGCGCGTAATAGGGAGATTGTCGCGCGATTGGAAGAGCGAGGCATTGATAGAGCTTTTTACTCAGGTATAACTCCGATCGCATTAATCGTAAAATTGGATCAAGCCTTCGACGAAATGTGAGTACACGTTGCAGGAGGACTTGCGATAGGAAGAACAACAACTACCCGTCTGACCCTACCGATGAACACCGCTGTTAACAGCAACAATGAAACACACCACACATCACTCTTTAGAGGCCGTGCTTTAGTCGGAGTCGTGCGAGTCTCTCTCGTGATTGTTGTCGGAAAATACTCTCTTGCCTAAAAATTGAACCGGCTCGGTACAGCGGATCCCCGCAAAGGATTCTCGTACGCGTTGCCGTCGAACATTATTTCTCTTTTTTTCTTTTTTCTTTTTTTTTTTTATATATATACAATCGAAGAGAAAGTATTTTGCGAATCTGCACGTTTCTACAAATGGTCACGAGGTGATTCCTTTCCTTCTCGTTATATTCTAGATCGTAGATGCTATTTCTACGTAGCATTGATACGTTATTTCTAGAGGAACGTTCGCACGAGTTTCCTGGGCTGTATATAATCTAAGCCGTATCGAATACGCGTGTCAAATTTGTCCGCCTCTTTTTATATATATATATATATTTTTTTTAATTTTTTCTTCAGAGATGCAGAGCCCACGCGTCTCTCTTAACTTACTTATTCCGACATGACATGGGTCACGCAGATCTCAGGAAACTCATATCCTAGTTGCACAAGTATAGTTGTGCTGGCGCCTTTTCGTGACTCTAGAATAGTGTCTCGGCACCGTGTGTCACGTTATAATCGTTCCGTTTCATACAGCTTTTGAATCTAGATCGTCGCGTGGTCAATTTGAATTTCTCGATTGCATCGAGGTAAGTTGGCCACCTGTGTGATACGTTATTTTTTTATTATTTCTTAGAAGCCGCTGTTGATACGTGCTTAAGGTGAGAGTGCGCTACTCACACGGCTTTTGACTTTTCGATGTCCTGAATCGTTGCAATGCTTTTACGGAGCATATTTACGTTATATGATATACATATATTATATCTATATTTCTGCGATATCATTGATTACAAATCCATGAATGTGCCGTAAGATAAATTATTACCGGACAATCCTTATGTACTGATTTGTTGATTACAAATTTTTATTCAGCTTTCTTTTTTAAATCTGCTGTACAAATTATAAGTGTACAAAATATGTGTATCTTATAATTGTATATATATCTAATTATCTGTGTACTTAAGGCGTCCGGGGAATATATTAAATAATCATACAATGGAAGAGATAGATGTGTATATAATCAATTTTTCTAAAGAGTTACAATTAATTAAATTTTATATACATTATCATCAAGAAAGGTATATTAATTGTTTTTGATTACGATAAACTTTTATCTCGACAGCCTATGTGAATTAATTAAAAAGAAGATTAATAAAACGTAGCACGCGACGTCTGAAAGAGACGGCTGAAAGTTCATCTGTATATGTACTTTTGCGCTTTACCTACTGCTATTCAAACAAACTTTTATTGGACTGTCAATGATATTTCTTCTTCTCAGAAATCGATTTTATTTGCATCTAGTCATCCCAGAGAGAATAGTCTGTTATGGTTCATTGCAAACGCTGCCGCGTTATTATTTATGATGTGACGAATGTCAAAACTTGACGTTTTTTACGTAGGGCATTAGGATTAAATATATATTCCTTGTGTTGATGTTAAATGCAAATGCCCGTGCAATGTTATCCCGTTACATTTCACTCCAAAAATATCACACCTCAATAAATTTACACACTCCCTTTTCCTATACCTACATAAAATTTAATTCAATACGTTTCTCGAGTTACAAGATCTCGTTTCAGCTCTACATTTTTTTTTTTTTACCACTGATCATTAGATTATTTCTGGAAAACGAGCAAGGAGACATCGAGCAAATACGAGAGATCAAAGGAAAGAGAGCAGTTTTTGAAAGAAGTTTGCACGAGAGAGAGAGAGAGAGAGAGAGAAGTAGCCAACAAATGTTACATGCTGAAATTGTGTTTGTTATGTCATTCTGTGATTCCATCATTGCTCGTGCGAAGTTGCGCTACATTAATGATCGGCAAATTCGGTAGCCCCCTTGGATACCTGAGGATGAGAGAGCGATGAGCTACTGCTGCAGTTACTGGCGCACGCAGATATTAATGCAAGACAATAGTTTAGCGGTATTTCTTGTTTGGTTTACAACGCAGAGTGCGGCGGGATGCTCATCGGCATTGGTGGAAGTGCCGGCGCCGTGGCACGCGGTTCCGGCTTAACGAGCCGGAAGCGTAACAGCACGCCGTGCAGCATACTACGATCCGAGGAAATCATGCCGGCCTACCAGCGCTTTGACAACAAACAAGCAGGATCCGCAGCCAGCGATACCGCCGGAAGTCTCAACTCGATCTCTAGTTCCGAAGGAAGCTCGTAAGTAGTGGACTCCACCTGTGGCGACCAATTCTGCAAGCGGAAGCGCGAGATTCCTGATACATACACTTACTTACTCTCTCTCTCTCTCTCTCTCTCTCTCTCTCTCTCTCTCTCTGTTTTTCTCTCTCTCTCTCCCCTTCTCTCTCTCTCTCTCCCCCTCTGTCTCTCCCATTTCTCTTTCCCCTCCTCTTCTCTCCTTTCTTCTCTTTGCTTTCTATTTCTCTCTTTTTCTTCATTTTGGCCTCTTCTTTTCTGTCATTTGATGCTGGACCTACTATTGACTTTTCTTTCTCTGCGGTTTCACTTACATTCTGCCCTTCTGCAGGCCGCGTGCACTTTGACTAAACGACATGAGCTGTAAGTTGTAATTGAGCTACATGAGATAAAGGAGTTGAGTTTTATTGAGCAATCTGTTATCGGAAGAAAGTATTGAAAATATTCTAGAACAAGAGTAATTAGTTTGGTGTTTAAAATATACTTCTGCTGTGTATTGAATATACATATATGTACTAGAAAATTAGACTCACACACGCACATTAAAATATACCTCAAACAGTTTTTTTTTATTTATTCTGTTTTACGAGAAAATAGATTGAGGAAAAATCTAAGTGAATGTATGAGACGAAAACGTAAACAAATGTGATTTAATATAAATTTGTTACGCGTTGGATTTTTATTTTAAACTCTTAAAAATTATGAACAATAATGTCGAGCTTAGACGTAACTCTTATCGTCAATTTACGCGTTATCAAAGACTACTTGCTTTCGAAAATTATTTAGTAAATCCATTATTTGAGGTATTCACAGCTCGCAGCTCATTGCTTATCGTTTGTCGACGTGCCAGCTTGTTGTCTTCTTATTCTCTACCAGTAGGGATTTATTCTTTGTCGTTCGCAGAGGATGCTATTAATTGGAAAAATTATTTCAAGTCTTATTTATGCGTTGCATTAACAAGGTAACTGTTATTGTGTAAAAATAAATTTTTGCTGTCAATAGACTGACCTTATTATTAAAGTTGTAGAAATATCGCAGACAAAGAATAATCCTGCTTTATTTATTTTACTCCTTGTATGCGCCAAGATCTGTCTACACAGAAAATCGTGAAAACGCTGCAGATCGATTATTAAATCTTTCAACATGTGATTGAAAATACGTTAGCAATACATCGATGATTTGAACTGTGCTGCAGTATTAGACATGATTGCGGTCACGCTTTTTCTCATGCCTCTTCAATTTTTGTCAATTCGCAATGCAGATTATCCATGACTTTTATCAATCGCAATTCTCTTTCTCGAATTACCATATACTAAACGAAGTGCTGAAAATCAGAAATTTAATGTTTGTATGTATCATACCATATCATGTTTTACTGCAAGACGAGTAATTTGTTTTACACATCTGTTTATATTCTCCCTTTTTTAATTTCAGTGAATTTTCGATATTATTGAATAATAATTTATATAATCAGGTACATTTTAGGAACTGTATATTTTTTCGTATCAGTAAAGTACTTTTACTGTATGTCAGTATTATATAATGCGAGGAAAAAGAAATGTATTTTAAGGTATAGTCTTCGACGAATTAGCTGTGGGACTTACATTCTGTCTTTTTCTTGTCTCCTTTTATTTACTATCGACATTTTGTTATCCCTTACTCCAAAAGAAAGCGCCCATAAAAATATTGTCGTTCATTGTCGGTGTTGTTGTCGTCTTGGCTTAACTGCTTGATTGTGGCAAATGATTGTACCGCATTACCTCGGAGCACCGTTGCACATATATAATACACACACACACATACACACACACGCACACGCACACGCACGCGCACACACATATACACACACACACATACACGCACACGCACACGCACTTTTGTATCTATTATATGTCAATGTGATATCTCATTGTCGCGGAGTCATACTCTCTACCTACATGGTAAGAAAAAACCCCGATGTGAATATGTCGAATGTCACCTACGAATGTCTTCGCAGGACCTGACACGTCTTCCCAATGATTTCCACCTACTTCTATTACGATCCATTGTCTTTTATATACAGTCGGCTGTACTATGTATTTATTGAGATATCGACGTTCCTTGGAAAGTAATCTCCCCCCTCTTGTCTTATGGATTTCATTTATCGTTTCCATAAAGTGTGTTTGATATCTCGTAGAATAGGTATTGTACAGCGTGTGTACCACTTAAAGTACGCGCCAGCTCGAAGGGAGCGGAGAGTCGACGATTAAAAATAGTACTAAACGTAGGTATGCGTGCCTGCGTCACTTACAGGACGTAAGTGAACGCTCTGTCGGTCCGGCATTAAGACGTTTACGGAATAATAACTCTGACACGTTATTCTACACCTTGGCAGACACTTGGTACCTAAATCTGGTCGGAACTTCGGAGAAAATGATTGGATGCAATCGGATGTGTGAACTTATATTCGTATGACTTTGCCCGACACTTAAATATATATACTGTCGCACTTATTGATGGTGTATCATAATGTTAAAATTGTTATAGCAATATGTCTCTTAAACAACTGCTATTAGATATAATTACTCTCCATAAAAGAGGTGTACGTTTATTTCATAAGGAAGCTAACTTTTAATTGTAATTAGTTTAGACTAATAATTACTTTGACTATGGCTGTGTACACTCGATATGGATATGCACAGCAGAACTTTTTGAAAAAAATCCGCTTAGCTTTAGTAACGTGAATCTTCCCAATGGGCGTGTTGACGACAAGTAAGTGTAAGTTAATATGAATCTTTTTGATTAATTTTTCTCCTAGAGTTTTAGTAAAGCATGATGTTGAGTAGCTAAATGTGAGCGAAGAAAAACAGTACTCAGTCATAAAATTATAGAAACAATTAAAAAGATACAACATAGAAATTGTAAAAATAACTTCTATATTGTATTTTTTTAAATTTTGATTATTGCACTTATATACTCTTTGCATTATATTTCTTCTTCAATTATATATAATATGTATCGAAGTAGACTGATTACTGTTATTTATAATTATTTAAAAATCTTTTTCTTTGCGCATTTAAATTAAAATGCATGCGTCAGCAGTCTGATATATTTTTTTAACCTTATCTATATAATCTCTTTTTCCATGTGTATAATATTATATTTATACTCACTATACACTGACACTACACTTTCAGCGTGAGTTCTTCTTATCTCAAACTGAATGAGGTGTGTTCTCTATCTTTTACAACTTTCGTCGAAGGCTTGCGAGAATTGTCCCTCGCTCCTGCGGAATATTATTTTTGTTTATGATTTTTATCCTTCGCATTTTCTTCATTGCATCAGAGAGATTATCCTTCGAATAATACTATATAATTTTCGGCTTGCAGTTTTCGCGCTTTATTTATTTTTTTTCTATTGTGAATTATATCGCGCATTTAGAACAGTCAAAATCATAATTCTGCACATAATCTTGTAATAAGTTTAGTGTGCGAGCAAGCGAAGGGAAAGCGGAGAACTCATAAAGTACAGTTCCCATTTCTCCATTGGTCGCACGGTAAACGCTGTAAGCCAAATTTTCACTCTTCTCTCACCCGAAAGTCTTCTATTACTTCTCTCCAAGCGTTTTTCTTTTGAATCATACTTCATATTTTTCGTAGTATCCCGCGCAAGTTTGCGTTTCCTTGCTAAATATATAATTTTGAAAACTGCAGTTGGTCTCCCAGTCTGCGAATGGCAGGCGAAGGGCAGTTGAGAAACTTCATTGAAGATCTTGGACCGGGCCAAGTGGTCGGAAGACAGGCACTTGCTACCCATTGCCTCGGCGAGATTCAACTGTCGTTGAGCCACACGAAGGGCTACCTTGAGGTAGAGGTCATACGTGCCAAAGACCTTAAAGCGAAACAAGGCAGCAAAGTAATACCAGGTTCGTTGAACTGCGATAAGTTTCACCGATCGCCGATAAGTGATCGCGGACGCGCTTAGCTTCGGCTCTTATTCCAGCTCCTTACGTGAAGCTGTATCTGGTGAACGGTAAAAGATGTATAGAGAAAGCGAAAACCATGATGGCCAGAAAAACGTTGGATCCATTCTATCAGCAATTATTGGCTTTCAAAGAAAACTGCCGGGGTTGTATATTACAGGTACGAATTGTTATATTTTTCTAATTTCTTTTCTCTAATTTTTTGGGGGATTTTATGTATTTAAATTCGTCATTGTATATTCTAGGTGACAGTATGGGGTGACTATGGGCGGATAGAGGGGAAAAAAGTGTTCATGGGTATTGCACAGATCGTATTGGATGAGCTGGACCTCAGTCAGATGGTGTTCGGATGGTACAAGCTGTTTGACACCCAAGCCCTGGTCAGTGGAGCTTCATCCCTTGCTTTGTCCCGTCGATCTTCGGTCACATCTCTCGATTCTTTTAAAATCTAAAAGAATGAACTGCCCGAAGAACGTACCGAGATATTCCTTTTATACGTATATATTTACCGAGAAGGTCTTTGAGTTTCTTGCAGTAGACAAAGTAGAGCAGATACAATTGAGTTCGAGCTCCTATCGCGGTGCACCTATAGTCGCTTTTAGTCATTAACAAAGTACCGAAAATGCACGAGTCTCGATGTACAAGGTAGTACTTACTTGTTTACTTTAACCGATTCAACAATTAGAAAGTGTATGGAAATTGTTATAAACGTCTTTAATAACTTAAGTGACACGCATAAAGTCATTGCTTGATGGTATTACATGTAGTTTCAAATAAATATTAGGGGATAGAGAGAGAGAGAGAGTTATACCACTACACTGTATACATCCACTGTATAAAAGTTGAGAGAAGTATCTATATAATTCTCTATCGTAATATATATTACTTATATTCTTCACTACGAGGTTGACAGAATTGAAAAGAATCTTATACACCCTACGCGTATCCCCCGTAGGCTAAATTAATGTCGAAGCCTAATGCTATTTAACGAGTGACGTTCGGCTCTGAATACGGTAAAATCAGTTTAACGAATAACAAGGAGTACACACAGTATGAAAAGTGATTGCACGGATAATAGAAAATTCTGCGGGACCGGAATGAAAACGAGAGATATAAAGCAATGCAAAGGCGATGCGAGAATTCGGGGAAAAAAAATAAACAGTGAAAGAACCGTACGAAAGGACATGTCTCTCTAGAAACACCACTAGTACATCACATATCATGTACGGCATATCAGACGAGCCACTAGTCTGTATGTAGAGACTAGATGTAGACGTAGCAGCCATGTTCCCGGAGCGCCAGATAGTTTTAGGTACGCACTGAGATCAAGGCATCGTTCGTAGATAGTTGAACAACGATTTAACGTGGGTACATATAAAAGGCGTCAGTTACGATTGCAATCGATTGCCGGGGTGATTGCAATATCTATTCGTAATACCTTGACAGTCAAAATACGGCAATATCGCTCGTACTTCCAGCAATCATTTAAAACGTTTCGATTGATTTTCTCAAGTACCCATGTGAAATCTTGATACACATTTGTTGTTGCCAATATCTTCTTTTCATTTCCACCGTTCTGTACAGAAATTTCCTCTTCTTCTTTGAAAATGCCTGTCCTATATGAAAATACTTCCATTTCGGCTTCGAAGTAGCGACGTAGAGTCGATAACAGAAACGGCACGAGATTATGTTATCGTATATGCGGTCGAAACTTCGTTGCCTTGTGCTGTATGTGCATCGATTTTACTTTTACCGAACTTGTAGAAGGAATATGCCTTTGCCTACGAAATTTCGTTCGACGTGGGAAAAGTTCGTTTTCCATTAATCCCTGAATTTACTATTTGCTTTATAAGTTTTAATATTTTTCCTTGTCCATAATGTATAAGAGCGATTTTTGTAAATTATTCCTGGTACTGCTTGATACACATCACATTATTAATTTCGACCTTTGCACAATATATTACATTCTCTTTTTCATGACTCGTTCGAACTTCCTTGTAAATACATTATAGTAAATTGTGACAAGTTTTGATACGTTATATATATACATACATACATATATGCTTGAATTTTTAACAATATAAAAAAAGAATACAAAAAGTAAATGAAGGTAAGTTTGTGCCGTATTCGGAGTCCTATGTATCCTCTTGTATATTTTTTCGAAATGTTTTTCAAGATACAATTTGAGATATTGAATGGTGTCGAAGAAGTCTTACGATAGGACAATCGTTGAATTTATATTATACGATGACAATATACGATACGTGAATCTCATGCATGTGCAATGGGAATTTTTATCATTCAATATTTCATGAAAGATGAATAGTGTTACGTGTTCATAATTAATAACACGTTTGTATATTTTATTTGCAGTGAAAACAAACTAAATCAAGCACGTTCGGGATAGATGTGAACTCAAATGTGGTGTACTAGATAAATAAGATGTGAAGAACGATCAATGACACTCGTTTTCAGTGAATCTAAATGTGGTTAAGTGAATAAGAAATTCATGAACATAGTGAGAAATATGAAGCGACAAACGGTCATGGACTTCATTTAATCGGCATGCGAGAGGGATTAAAAATGTTGAGACATTCCAAATGGAAGAAGACATTTCCAAACTTTGTATATAATTTAGGACAGTTCAAGTACTAAATGTCGATCTCCGAAACGATCGGCTAAAAAAAAAAGACATTTATCGTTGTCAAATTTTTAGTCGAAAATGTCACCGTCAGAGCATATATTATTTAATGTAAATATTATAATAACACTGATATGAGAATTTGCGATATGTGCGCGCAAGTTTGAATGGGTAACAACGTTTACTTTGTATATCTCTGTTGACTTACAATTTCTACGATAATCGTCGTTATAATTTCGGCATTTTAATTACGTTGAATCTGATCCAACTTAACATTTTCTAAGTTAGCAATCGGAATAATTAGAATGTACAATGAATAATGATATGATTAATTACACAGTTTGTTCCCTCAATATTGACATTTATTGGTTATACGTATTAGCACGTATTATTTGGCTTTTTCAATATTGTTTAGTAATCCGTGTCCAAGAAAAAAAAATGAGATAATTATTGACGTAGAAAATATGGAACAGGCATATGTATCATATTTCTCAAGTACGAAGCAGACTGATAAATCGATTCCTACACATCTTATAGTTTGAATTTTTTTCGTTGAATTAGCAAACTCGAAGCCAGAATGAAATACTATACCCGAACGGTTACAAATTAGCTTCGGTTCAAAGCCTTATTTCAGTCACGTGTAAGAACCAGTTTTTTGAAACAAATTGAGAAAACAAACCGCCCATTTAACTCGCGTAAACGGGACGCGTTGCGGCAAAAATTCTCTTTCGTACTGATTTTTGTACAAAAACAGTGAAATGCCACTAAATACTTAAGAGGCTTTGTAAATCTCTGTAAGAAGCGCGTAAAAGAAATGCTTGCCATTAATTTTATATCTTAATTATCATGCTATGTGTTCGACCTTTCTTCGTGCGTATCTCGAACACTCGCGAAGATATATTCAGCGAGCATGCACATGCACGTCTGCTGTGAATTAGTAAATAATTACATTGGTGCCCTCTGAGAGAGAAAGAGAGAGAGAGAGAGGG